GGGTGGGAGGGACCCGGGACGCTCTCGAGTAAGGAACAATGAGAATGCGGCCCCGCCCCCTCGGGTCCCCGGGGCAGCCCCCTCGCGCCGCCTCCGCTGCGCCGCGCCGCAGCTGCCCCCGGGCGGAAAGCGCTCAGGGACAGAGGCTGAGCTTGGGGCCAGGGAGGGAAGGGCTGAGCGTGGGGGACGGATGGGGTGGCATCTGCACGTGCGACCAGGGCTGAGCGTGGAGGGAGGAGAGCGGTGGCATCTGCACTTTGGACCCGGGCTGAGAGTAGGGGAAGGAAGGGGGGAGGGGGCAATCGTTTCTGCACGCGGGACTCAAGCTGGGGAGGTGACCACTGCCCGCGGAGGCCGCCCTGCTGCCTGCCCTGGGGGGATAGGGGAGAGTCACTGCCCTAGGACCGTGGCTTCACTTAAGGGTTAGGGGGGCACACGGGGGAAGGAATGGAGTGCGCTAGCCCTGGGACGCTACCTCCACGTGAGCGGAAAAGGGTGCATTGCATATAAGAACACAACTGCGCGTAAGAGGGGGTGGGTGGTGTCACCGTACCTCTACGTGGTGTGAAAGGGGCTCATTGCGAGTGGAAACGCGGCTGACAGCAAGAGGGGAGGATGATATTGCAGAGAGGAGGCCTTTGGCCCTTGGGACCGTCGCTCCACGTGGGCCAAAAGAGGTTCTTTGCAAATGGCAATAAATGCCCCTAAAGGGAAGAAAGGGTATCACCCTGCGCTTGGAACCACACCCCTACGAGGGGAAAAAAGTTCACGATAAGTGGAACACTGCTGCACGTAATGGGGGGAGGAGGCCCGGCTGTTCGTACTGTCCTTGCAACCACGTGGGAGGAAAGTGTTAATTGAAAGTGGGATCGCGGATGCGGTGAGTGGGGTGGGACGCACTGCAGAGAGGGGCTTGCTGTACTAGAGAACATGTGTCCGCGTGCACGTGGGAATACAGCAGCGTGGGAGTGGTCGGGCACTGCAAAAGAGGGGATGATTCACTTTCCTTTGGACCCTAGCTCCGCGGCGGGGAGGGGAGGGGTTCGTTGCACCTGAGTCCACTGTTGTACCTGTGGAGAGGGGAAGACCAGCACATAGGCGGGACTGGGCCACGCATTGCTACCCGTGTCCGGGCACCCCCTACGGAAGTTGGGAGGAGTCGAATGAAACAAGTTTTGCAGCACCCAGAAACCGTTGCCGTGGAGGCTGGGCACAGGGTGGGGCACGATTGGACTGGAGCCGTGCCTTATACCACCCTGCGGGCAGGAAACCCACGGCGGGTAGATTAGCAGCCCGGGAGGGTACTCCAACCGGGTGTGGAAACCCTGTTTCCTCGCCTCATCCCTACAGTGGCCTTGGATGTCGTGTCTCCTGGGTGAAGGAGGTTGGAATTCAGGGTGCGCTCCATCACTTCCCCCTCCCCTTCCATTCCCCAAGTCTAAAAGGGAAATATGAGCCGAGAGGAGAGATCCTTGAAATAGAGACTGCAAGAAGCGTCTCACCTAGGCTAGGAGGCAGCAGCGCTTCACCCCCAGCTGGCCTCCAGCTTTTACATGCCCTAAGGAGATGGGAAACTCCCACAGTTGTGACTCAGGCTTCATTAGGGCTTTGAGGCGTTCCCCCTGAACAACTGTGTGTTGTGTGTAAATATATATATGTATGAAAATGTCATATATGCTTTCCATATATATACATTCTATATATGCATATATATGCTTGTCGTGCCCATTTGACCTTTCGGGGACCTAGGTTCAAATCTCCCCTTTGACACATGCTGGACAGGTCATAAACTTTTAAAGCTTTTGGAGTCTTTCAAGTTGCAGATATGATTTGGAGGAAGGGATGTGTTCCTTGGAAATAAAGACTGTCTTTTACCTTTTCTTTGTATCTCCAGCCTTAGCTCAGCGCCTGACACGTAGTGCTTAATAAATGGTTACTGACAGGTCACTACAAAAAAAAAAAATCCATAAAACACAGATTGAAGCGGGGCCCACAGGTGGAATTAGTCACCACAGGGTTACGCAACTTCCAAGTGCCAGCGCTGGAACGGGCTTTCTTAATACTCCCAGTACGAGAAATTACACACACACAAACACACACACACCTCCTACCCCACTCTGACAGATTGCTGCCCCTCCTTACTTCTGAGGAGTGAAATCCCCCAACTGCCTTCAAGGTTGCCCTCGAATGTACTTCCGACAGGCAGCCCTTATATTTATTTTGTTGTATGTATGGTTTATTTACTTATATGTGCTATTTCTCCCCAGTGGGATAGAAATTCCTTCTGGGCAGGAACTAAGGAGAGAACTATCTTCATATCCCCAGTTCTAGCGGTGCCTGCCCTGTATAGTAGGCTCTTAATGAGTACATGTTGAATTGAATTGAACCCTGGTCCAGTGACTAAATTCAAATCCTTTTCTACTGTAGGCAGCCCAGTGGTGCAGTGGATGGAGCACTGGGCCTAGGGTCAGGAAGCCCTGAGTTTGTATGTAGCCTAAGATACTAGCTGGGTAACTCTGGGCAAAGTCAGTTTAAAAAAAAAAATCTGTTTGCCTCCGTTTCCTTAACTGTAAAATGAAGAATAATAACAGCACCTACCTTGAAAGATTGTTGTGAGGATCAAATGAGATAATATTTGTAAAGTGCTTAGTATGGTTCCTGGCATATAATAGGTGCTTAATAAATACTTATTCCCTTCTCTACCAAACCATGCTTGCTGCAAGCCTGGCCTGGAAACAACCTGGGGATTGAGTAGATCTGCGCTTATGGATTCACTGGGTACATGGCAGTAAGTCTGTGCCTTTCAGAATCCTTTTCTTTCATCTGGATATCTCAGGCAGTCACACACACACCCCCAGGGTAGTGTATACATATTGATGGTGTTCACGTCCAATCCCTCCCATTCCCCAGAATGTAAGCTCCTTCAGAGCAGGGACTGAAACTTTTTTTTAGTGAATACTATTATTTCTCATGTTTTTTCATCTGTCATTCTGATATTGCGTCTCAAACCTGAAACAGACTTTGGCATTTAAAAATACACACAAAGTCTGTACAGGTTTGTCTTGACAATTTTTCTGATGTGCAGTTTTAATCCTTAGGAAAGGCATAACCAGAAGACACTATTATGTTTCTCAGAAAGAGCATTCTACAGGGAGAGAACAGGCCAATGTACAACATATATGTATTTTCTTTGACTTTTTCCCTTCTAAAGATGGCTAAAGAAGCTTATATTCCCATCCAACTTTACAGTATATTCTCCTTCAAGATAAACTATTTGGGGGGCAGCTAGGTGGTGCAGTGGATAGAGAACAGTTCCTGAGTTCAAATCCAGCCTCAGACAAATAACACTCACTAGCTGTGTGACTCTGGGCAAGGCACTTAACCCCAATTGCCCACAAAAACAAAAAAAATTATTTTTGTCACACAACAATAATACAGTGAAGTGATGTCATTCCACAACAAATGAGATCAAAGCACATAGTAGGTGACTGATAAATGTCTGTTGATTGAATAGGTCAGAGTAAGCCAAGACAGTTTTCTGTAGCTCCAAGGATTACCAGGCCTGTTCTTTGGATTTTAGTATTAGTAAACTCACATTTACTTTGGTGTGGTAGAAGGTACCTTGGATTAAGAGTCAGAGATAACATTGCTAAGGCATCTAAGTGGTACAGTGGACAGACCCCAGGACCTGAAGTCAGGAAGAGTTTAAAGCTCGATTCGAACACTTACTAACTTTGTGACCCTGGGCAAATCACTTCACCCTGTTTGCCTCACACAACCAAACCTGCAAGGTTTGTTTCAAGGATCAAAAAAGATCTTTATAAAAAGCTCTTAGCGCAATGCCTGGCACACAGTAGGTGCTTAATAAATGCTTGTTTCATTCCTAATTTTGGTGCCACTATTAATTAGCTGTGACAGTGTGATATTATGCAAAAAGCCCTGGATTGGAAGTCCGGACCTTATTCTGATTCCCGGCTTTGTTACTCATGGCTTAGGCAAGCAAGTCTCTTCCTTTCTCAGAGCCTCAGTTTCCTTCTCTGTAAAATGGGATTTGAATTAAATGGCCACTACATTCTCTTTCACCTCTAGTATACTGTGACTATGATTTTAAGCGGGCGCCTGGGGCTAAATGGTGTGTTTGACACCAAAGGTTGAGAAGAATGAGGGACAAAGTGTATAAAGTGAGGAACCAAAACTCCAAGCAAAAAGCGCTCCCCAATAACAAAAATATCTAAACATCCATCCTAAGGCAGGGTCAGACCTTTTTTCATTCCCAAAGAGAAAACTGTTAGGGATGGGTGAAAACATGGAGTGGCCATCTCATCCTGTCCCACTTCGTCTAAGCAGTAATAATCATAAACCACATTGGAAAGATTGGAGTATCTTTAATCCTAAGTAAATTCAGTAGGCAGAATTTACAATGCAAAACTGGTGAAAACAAATACAGTAATTTGTTCTTCCCAAGTGGCTGGGGCTTAAAAATGTCAGTGTTGGGACTGTGACATCTCCTGGTGGAGTATAGTATTGCAGCCCAATTCTGTTAGCCATTAACACCCAAAGAGATAAAATGTAGACTTGGTATACCCAGATAGGGGATAAATTCCCTGGAGGGAAGGAGGTTAAAAGGTAGGACAGGATATTGAACAGAAAAGAGATTCCATAGTTAGGAAAGTAGTCATTCCCACTGAGTAGAATTCCCAGGGGGGAATAATTTCCTGGTATACTTCAATGCCTGGCAGGCCACAGGATTTCTACCATAAAAATAATAAGACATTCTTATAGGGCTTTAAGGTTAACAACAGGTTTTTTTTTTTAATCAAGCTTGTGAAGTTGGTAGTGCAAGAATTATTTTCATTTTAGACATGAACAAGTTAAACAGGTTGCTCAAGGGTCCAACACATAGAGCTAGAATTTCAGATTCTTAGATCTGCAGATGGAAAGAGACCTTATAGAACATTTACTCCCATGGCCTCAGTTGTAAACATAAGGAAACAGAGGCCTAGGATGGTTAAATGACCTCTCCAAGGTTACACAAGTGCCAGAGGAAGGGTTCTCCTAAATCCAAGAGTCTATGGTTCTTTCCAGTGATTACTAAATAATTTCTTTCTAAATAGAAGATTTCCCTTGGTCTGTGAGAGGATGTTTTCCTTAAGACCTACCCATAATTTTGTACTTTGATATGTCAGTGAAAACATTGTCTTTAAAATGAAGGGGTTATCCAACCATTCTGGAGAGCAATTTGGAGTTATGCCCAAAGGGCTATAAAACTGTGCACAGCCTTTGACCCAGCACTACCACTTCTAAGTCTGTATCCCAAAGAGATCATACAAATGGAAAAAGGACCCACATGTACAAAAATATTTATAGCAGCTCTTTCTGTGGTTGCAAAGAATTGGACATTGAGGGCATGCACATCAGTTGGAGAATGGCTGAACAAGTTGTGGTATATGAATGGAATGTAATACTATTGTGCTATAAGAAATGATAAGCAGGCAGACTTCAGAAAAACCTGGAAAGACTTATATGAACTGATGCTGAGTGAAGTGAGCAGAACCAGGAGAATGTTATACACAGTAACAGTCACATTGTGCTATGACTAACTTTGATAGACTTGTCTCTTCTCAGCAATGCAAGGATCTAAGACATCTCCAAAAGTCTCATGATGGAAAATGCTGTCCACATCCAGAGAATGAACTATGGAGTCTGAATGCATATGGAAGCATACTATTAGCTCTCCTTTTCTTTTGTTGTTTTGTTTTATTGCTTCATTCTCGTGGTTCCTTCCATCAGTTCTAATTCTTCTTTACATCATGACTAATGAGAAAATATGCTTAATATGAATGTATTAAGTAGAGACTATATCAGATTGTATGCCATCTTGGGGAGGGAGGGGAAGAAAATTTAAAATTCAAATCTTACAGAAGTGAATGTTGAAAACTAAAAATAAATTAATTTTTTTAAAAAAGAAATTATCAAGGAAAACTGCCCTAATATCTTAGATCCAGAAGGTCAAACAGCTTTGTACACATATATATGGATATATCTACATATACAAATATATGCATATTTATATATACGTATTTATATTTACACACTCAGTTAGATATAGAAATTCATCTTACCCACTAAGGAGATAGGATGGGAAGCAGATAAGAGATATGGGGAAGGATCATAAGAGGGAGAGGAGATTGGGGGGGAGAGCTCTTTTTGGGGTGGCCAAGAATTGGAAATCAAGGGAATGCCCATCAGTTGGGGGGTGGCTGAACAAGTTGTGGTATATGTATGTAATGGAATACTATTGTGCTATAAGAAATGATGAGCAGGCAGACTTCAGAAAAACCTGGAAAGACTTGTATGAACTGATGCTGAGTGAAATGAGCAGGACCAGGAGAATGTTGTACATAGTAACAGCAACATTGTATGAAGACTAACTTTGAGAGAATTAGCTCTTCTTAGCAATGCAAGGATCTAAGACATCTCCAAAAGATTAATGATGGAAAAT